ATATGTCGAAGCAAAAGCAAGTTATCGGAGAGCTCTTAACCAGGCAAAACTCAAGTCTAATGCTGACAATATATCCTATGCGCCCAACCAATGCAAACGTGCATGGGAGTTAATTAATAATTCATCCACGGGGAAAACTACTCCATCGGCTGACTCACTGACTTCGCAGATCTTCAGTGACTTCTTCGTCTCTTCGGTTGATGATGTCCGCAACCAAGTGCCGCCTTCCATTGCTGCTGCTAAAAATATGATGAAGGTGCCCATCAACGTACCAGATTTCACTCTGAAGCCAGTGTCTAGTGAGGAAGTAGCAAATATTGTGATTGGCTTAAGAAATAGTAAAAGCCGTGATATCTTTGATATCAGCAGTGTTCTCATCAAGGAAGTGCTATCTGTGATATTATCCCCACTTACCCTTTGTATCAATATTTGTTTAATGTCTGGTAATTTTCCAGAATCCCTTAAATTATCTAAAGTTGTGCCTATTTTCAAAAAAGGTGATTTTTTATGTCCTGAGAGCTATCGACCGATCTCCGTTGTACCGATCTTCTCAAAAATTTTGGAAAAGGCTGTGATACACCAGGTAACTAAATTTTTTGAATCCAATAATTTGTTTTCTAAATCCCAATTCGGCTTTCGAGGGGGACTGTCAACTGTGGACGCAGTTGGTAGCCTTGTTGTTGCTGCTTTAAATGGTTTTGAAAAGCATGAAAGCACACTCACCACCATGTGTGACCTTTCAAAGGCTTTCGACTGTGTTCCGCACGACATCCTTCTCACAAAACTTGAACAATACGGCATAAGAGGTGTTGAGCTAAACTTTTTTCGGACCTATTTGGCCAACCGCACACAGAAAGTCTTGTATAACAATAAGCTCTCTGAGGTGTCGGTAGTGAAGAGTGGCGTGCCCCAGGGATCGGTCCTTGGCCCATTTCTATTCTTAGTTGTAATTAATGACTTGCCTGTTAATGTAAATTGTAATTCTATAATTTTTGCTGATGATTCAACTTTTTTCTGCAGTAGACCTAATCACAGTTTAGATAATCTTAATGTTTATATGTCCAACTGTCTCATTGAATGTAACGATTGGTTCAAAAGTAGCGGTTTCCTATTGAATAATAGTAAGACTCAATCTATTTTATTTAGTTTAAGTAACCATGATTTAAACTTTCCTCAACTCTGTGATAATGTTAAATTATTGGGTATATACCTGGATTCTAAATTAGGCTGGAGTGTGCACATTGACCATGTTTGTAGTAGGCTCTCAAGAGTTATTTACTTACTCCGCAAGCTTAAAAAATTAATCCCTAGACACTACCTACGGATGGCCTACTTTGCCTTCTTTAATAGTATTTTAAGCTACGGTATTTTGCTGTGGGGCTGTGGTCATGATGTTAGCAGAATCTTGCTCCTACAAAAGAAGGCTTTAAGAATCATTACTTTTTCTAAGTACAGAGCCCATTGCAAACCCTTGTTTATTCAGGAAAAAATACTCACTGTTTTTAATTTATTTATTTATGTGTGTCTTGTTTATGTAAAAGTTAATATTAATGCTGTAGCCTTGAGATCACATTCACATAGTTATTTTACTAGACATAGGAATAATTTAGAGTTACCTTTAGTCAGGCTAACAAAGTCACAAGAGTCTTTTTCTTATATAGGGTTAAAAATGTTTAATCGTTTGCCAGCTGAGGCACATTGTGTTGATCTTAAGTTATTTAAAAGTAAACTTTTTTGCTGGTTATTAAATCACCCTTTTTATAGTTTAAGTGAATTTTTCATGTCTGACATTGATATTAGTTTTTAGTTTCTGACTGATGTAGGCCTTAAATCTGTGTAACTTACTTTGTTGTTTAAATTATTTAAAGTAGCCTAGTTATTGAATGTTATAGGCCCTAATGCTAACCACTGGACATTTCATATTGACCTCAACTATACAAAATGTTTTTTTGTAATTTGTTGTAATAAATTCTTGATTCTTGATTCTTTGTTGGGAAAGCAGCTACATCTGGGGAAGACCTGGGCCCGGCAGACAAAAGGTCTGTCTGGGTCGCCTTAGCCTTAACCTTAGCCCTTGTGGTCTGAACAGCCTCTTCCTTTTTTGGAGGGCTTTCCGTAGTGGATGGCCTTCTGCGTTTCTTAGAAGGCAGCGCCCTGTCGTCAGGCATAGACACTACCTTCTCCGCAATCTTCTCCATGGCCGCCTTGCTTACCAACCGGCAGGCAAAAACGAATCCAAGGTCATCTTCTAGCTTGGCCATGCCATTTTTGACCACTTGGTTAACAGCTTTCTGGGTCCGAAAGGTGTCCAGCATAGCTTTAATGGTCTCCTCCATGTCTCGAAGCCGGGTTTCGATGCTACTCTCTGCGTCAAGGTATTTCTGACGCAGAAGCACCATCCCTGAGCTCTCCGACTGCAACGTTGTTGTAAGGTGTTCCTCCAACAGCCCTTCACCAGACTTGAAAGCTGGCACCGGTGGAGGGGAGACAGTCGCTCCCTTTACCAGCGAAGGTGCCAACGATATATTTCCTACCGTCAGAGGGGGTGACCTTGAAACACACCCTCCCCTCTTAAACGCATTCTCCTCTGACTGCTTGCCAAGCAAGCCCTCCATGCTACCTAGGGTTGAAATAGCCATAAAAATGTTTGCCAGCGCATCGTGCGGCAAGGGACGGCCCGGAATAACCAGGAACGGGTATACCCTCGGGGACGTAGCCCCTACCCCAGTTCCCTGGGGCCCGGTCTTCGTTTGCCTAGTACCGAGAATCCTGACGTACCGGGGGTCGCCCGTGGCAGTGCAGAGCCCGACCTCTGCACCCATGCCGCACTCCCTGACTAGGGCCCGAAGGGGCTGGTTCCTGACGACACACCAGAGATGTCCCATCGGCAGTGCGAGGCACAAAACAGCCCTTTTGCACAGAAAGGGCACTCCCAAGGCTCAATAGTGCACGCCGGTCGAAAAAGAAGAAAGGAAAACACCCAAACCGGGGTTGAAAAAAAGAAGTGTAAAAAGGAAAGATGAAAGATTTCGAGGTACAAGCCAAAGGTAAGAAGCAAACTTGGCCTCAGAGAAAGTTGGGAGCATAAAGAGAAGGATCTCCCACCCCCTGTTAGTCGCCTTTTACGACAAGCCGAGGGAGGCTGCGGTCCTATTCTAACCCGGTACCGCATGGGTAAAAGAAGAATGGTAGGGTCTAATGAGATTGAAGTTTTTAAACAGGCAAAAACAAATGAATGGCAAAGACAAATAAAAAACAATCAACTAAGAAAAGTAATCAGGAGTAAATTGTAAAAGATTTCAAGAACTCTAATACTGCAATGTATTTATAACTGATTACATGTCCAATGGTGAGAGATACACTTTGTTAACCCCTTAACCGCCGTCTAAGTAGCCTAGTCAAAATCCGCCATTGCCACTTATTTTTGCCGTTTTTTTGACGATTTTTACTTGTGATTTAAAAAATTGTACCAGTTGTTTTTTTAAAGAAAACAGTTATCAATATTGTTTGTAGACATCTTCAAAAACATTAAGCTTTAACCATACTAAAATTTGAGATTGGGGGGGGGGGGGGGGTGGGGTTCGGGGGTTTCTTGAGTTAGGCCTATAGTAAAAATTAGGCCTACAATAAAGTCTACAACTCTAATAAATTGTAATCCTCAAGCATGTCACCAGCTATTACGACTAATATTTACTACTCATTCAACACTATCAAGTAAATAACCACCAAAAATCACAATTATAATGACACGCATAATGTACGTAAGCATTACGTAAGCTTCCGCAAGCACGAGTTTTACTGAAACTACGAACGGAACTGATCGGGACCATTACTGACCTATAATACCACTAAAATCCACCAGATTGCAGCACTAGTCAAGCAGCACTGTCAACAACTTGTTTACGTACGTATATCAGAGATAAGGCGGGAATTGAGCTGTTAAAAATAAAACAAAACAGCTGATTACGTCAACACGAGATAACTCGTACGTGGCGGTTGCTCTGAAAACTAGTATCGCCCGGCATATCTCGTGCGTGGCGGTTAAGGGGTTAATAAAGTGTTTTTATTTAAAATGTTTTTTTTTCCATTCATAAAAATATAAAGTTCCATTCCTAATTACACTAATCTAATGATTGTGCATTACCAAAAGCTACTTTTATTTGGTTTATCTGTATAGCAAAACATGTTTGTTTGATTTTATTAATAATTTGAAGAGTTATAAATCTTAAGTGTGATGAACAACTGTAGTTAATTAGGCTATCCTAAAAATATATACATCATAAAATTAGCTGCTATTTACCGGATCAGAGTAGAACTATTCTTAGTGATAATAATAACAATTGCAGAAATTGACATAAATTTAATCAACAATTGATCTTATATTTGAAGAGTAATATAATAAGGAATAACATATTAATATATTAAAAACCAAGCAAACCCGATTTTAACAATATTACGTAGTACTAACTGGCGTAAACAACACAACCATCTAAAAGTGTTGTGTACAAAACAATGTACTATAAGGCTACTGACTTAGTAGTAAAATGGGCTGGTATAAGACTAAGCTAGCCAGGTTTGCCTCATTTTACAACTACCGGTACTAAAAATCGTGATATTTCAGTTATTTTTCATTTGATCATTTTGAACTTGGTGTCGTTTGATAGGGAAGTTAAAATGCTAAAATAAGTAGTGTTCTTGACACCTTTTTATAAAATTAGACATTTCTTTGTAATTTTAATTTTGAAATTTTATATTGTATCAAATTAATTTTGTTTTCTAAGACCGGACTCTTTTACCTGAATATGCATATCAAGTATCATAAAGATCGGTTGGAACAATTCAAAGACAAAAATGTTTATGTAAAAAAAAGCAATTCTGGAAAAAGTTTTATCTTGATTTTATTTTTTTTTTTACCACTAGGTAAATTATGTCCCAACCTTTTTTGAACACCCTGTATATTATATCTTTGTAAGAAAGTCTAGTATGAAGTAGTAATATACCTAAACAATCTCCATCTCGGATAGAGTGAGGCGGCTGGTAGACATGGCAACACCACTGTCACTAGAAGTACTGTGATCGTCTGTGTCACTTTGGTTGCTTGTGTACCCTATGATGTCTACTTCATCTGGAACATCAAAAATAGTAAAAGTTAATTATATGCTTTTCCAATTATTTACAAAATGTTTTATCCATTAAAAAGATAATGGGAACTGAAATGAAATGAAAATGAAATGAAAAATGTCTTTATTTAAGAGGCGAAGTTAGGACTAGCAGTCCTCTCTACCACTTAACCTCTAAAACATAAATAAACTATCCACTTTATAAATAAAATTAAATAATCTAAGGTACCATATTATAAAAATGTTGAAATTAAATTTAAACCCAAAAAGTCCATTCACACAAGCCGCCAACAACCCGCCACACCAGCGCCAGAGACTCATTCATGCCTGCTACTCAAAATCATAGATTTGATCTCTGCCCCAAACCTTGCACGGTTCTCTATAGATTTTATATGGTCAGGAAGAAAATTCCACATTCGAATTGCAGATACTAAGAAAGATTTATTAAAAACTGTTGACCGGTAAATTGGTGTAGATAAAAGAAGAGAGCCTCTACGAGTGGAACGGGTACTGATGTCAGAAATGAAATGGAAGTTATCTGATAAATACTTAGGAATTTTACTGTTGATAATGGAGTGTAGAAGACGGAGGGTGTGAAATTCCCGAAGTTCATTTAGCCTCATTAATGAAAGCAGGTTGAAATATGGAGTCACATGGTCATATCGTCTAAGGCCAAAAATGAATCTGATACAGGAATTCTGCGCTCGCTGAAGTCTGCTAGAAACCTCATTAGTCATGTCATTGATCACCACATCACAGTAGTTGAAATGAGTCAAGATGAGAGTTTTTACTAACATGATTTTCAAGTTCAGTGGAAGGTATTCTGCGAAACGTTTGATGGTGTGAATAGCCCCAAAAACCCTGTTACAAGTGGAATTTGCTTGGTCAGACCAATTCAAATGTTTGTTCATTATGAGTCCTAAGTTTCTCACTTTGTCGCAGTAGGTAAGGTCTTTTCCGTCAAAGCTAAGCCGTGGTGCAGTGAGTAAGTTTATTTTAGTCATTAATCTGGGGTAGCCAACAATCATTGCTTGAGTTTTGTCAATGTTGAGTTTAAGTCCGTTGTTTGTGGCCCAGTGAGTTATTGATTCAATGTCAATGTTCATGAGTCGCACAGCAGTATCCATCTCGTCTACATTAAAGTGAGAGTAAATCTGTAAGTCGTCAGCATACAGATGGTAGTGTGAGTTAGTGATATGTTCTGTGATGTCATTGATGTAAATTGAGAACAGTAGTGGGCCAAGAACAGATCCTTGAGGAACACCTCTAGTAATCTGCTCCCAAGTAGAACATTTGTCACCAGCTTTGACACACTGCTGACGATCAGATAAATATGACTCAATCCAGTCAACACAGTTGTCAGAGAAACCAGCCAAGTGCAGTTTCAGGAGTAAAAGAGGATGGTATACGCAGTCGAACGCCTTTGAAAAGTCAAAGAGGGTTAAAATAGTGGCCTGTCTGTTATCCATTACACGGCGGATGTCATCAGTAATTTTCAACAAAGCAGTGGTAGTGCTATATTTCGCGCGAAACCCAGATTGAAAATCCGATAAGACTTTGTTCTCTTAAAAAAAAAACTGAGAATTTATTATGCACTATTCTTTCAAGGCATTTAGAAAGGGCAGGAAGAATGCTGATTGGTCTATAATCAGATGGGGTATTGGGAGATGAAATTTTCTGAAGTGGGCGAACAATGACTGATTTCCAGATGGAGGGGAAGGTAGAGGTTGCTAATGATCTGTTAAATATGAATGTTAGTACCGGGAGAGTAACTGGTAGAGTGTCTTTAATAAACCTAATAGGAATATCATCAGCGCCGACTGCGTTACTTGTCATCCCTAGGATTGCCCTGCGAACATCAAATTCACTAACTGGGGAAAAGAAAAACTGATTTTCTGGCATGTCAAGTGGTCTAGATGTGATAGCGGCAACATGGTTAAAGGCACCTGCAGAACTTATAGGAATATTCACAAAAAAGTTGTTAATAGTGTCGAGACTGATGGATATTTTATGTGAATTTTTAGACTTGCCGATACCTAGGTTCTTAACTTTGGTCCACAAAGTTTTGGAGGATTGTTTCTGGGAGAAAGATGTATAATAATACCTGGCTTTAGAGTTTCTAATCTGTTGTTGGGTTTGATTCCTGAGTCTTTTGTAACAGGCCCAGTCATCAGGGAGTTTGGTGCGCTTGGCTTTACGAAATGCAGCATCTCTATTTTTTTGAAGTTGTCGAATAAAATAATTTATCCAGGGAGCAGGTGGCTTAGAAACTCTTTTAGATACTATTGGACAGTGTTTATTGAGAAGATTAGAAATGAGGAAAGTAAAATGCTCGACCATTGAATTGACATCAGGATCATTAGTAACCACATCCCACGGTAGAGTAGAAGCATCTAAAAGCAGAGCATTGAGGTTAAGATTACGATAGTCTCTGTATTTAATCAAATTTGGGCAGAATTTGGGCTTTTTTAATTTATATACACAGAAAATCAGGTCATGTTTAGAAAGTCCAGGGGCAGAAAATTGACCGTGGTGGGCAATAAAGGATGGGTCACTAACAACTATGATATCCAGCAGTATGTCAGCCGTGGCTGTGTGATATGTGGCAAGTAAAGGTAAGATAGTAATGTTACAGGAGAACAGATTTGTAAGTGTAGTTTGGTCATAAGTTAGTGGTCCAAGTAGGTCAGTGTTAAAGTCACCCATCACAATGACATGACCATAGCGAGGCAGCAGACCCACCAAATCCTGTTCAAACTCAGCTAAGAACCCAATGTGAGGTGCTCTGTAACAAACACAAATCAAAAAATGTGTTTTGTTAACACAAACGTCCAAAAACAAATATTCAGGTCTTCCCACTGTTTCTGAGTTAGACTTTAAAAGTACAGAGGAAGGAAAATGAGACTTAACATATACAGCAACTCCTCCTCCACCCTTATGGAGACGATCATTTCTAAAAATATTGTAGCCAGTTAGTTCAACACACACATTTGTCATTTAATGATGGTTTGAGCCAAGTTTTAGAAATTAAAATCAAATTTATTGAGGAATCTTGAAAGATTGTACGAAATTCGTCTATGTGACAAAAAAGAGATTGTGCATTTACATGAGCTGCCTTTAAGAAGTTGGGGAATGGAGATAGGGTTTGGCAGAGAAGCTGAGATAACGGCGGAGAGAGAGAGAGACCGAGCAGGGTCGGGGCAGCGTTATCAGTTACTGGACTGATAAGCATTGATGAGCAGGCAACAAGTGGCACATGACAATGGAGGCCGGGAAGCAGGCGACACAAGCATACAACATTCGCACACACATACACTCACTATGCCTAGACAATGGCATCTTAATATTTTCCTAGCAAAATAAAAAAAAATTAACATTCTTATACGGAACTGGTGATTTATCAAGACATCTGTAGTTCTAGAGAGGTGCAAGGACTTCTAAGGTTCATAAGTGAGGGTGTCTAGTTTATTTCCATTTAAAAATTCAAGACTAATTCCAGACTTTTCAAGACTAATTTTTTCAACAAATGATGTGTTGATACCAACATTTATTGATTCTTGATACTGATACCTGATAAATTGATTCTTGATTCTTGAAACTGATACCGTTTTTAAATGTTTTTATTAGCTCGCTTACTTGTCCGGTACAAATTTTTCAATCGATTTTAAACCAACTTCCCGATGAGCTAGGAACTTGAAAGTTGAAACATTACAGGGTGTCTAGTTTATTTCCATTTTAAAATTCCAGACTAATTCCAGACTTTTCAAGACTAACTCCAGATTTTTCAAGACTAGTTTTTTCAATAATTAGTGATGAGTTGATACCAAAATGTATCGATTCTCAATTCTTGATACCGATACCAATTTGTATAGTTTAACCAAATTTTCTAAATAATTTGGTTATACTACACCAAACCCTGTCTTTATGTCATAAGGTATTATTAAGATAATGGGGTGTTTTTCAAGTAAAGAAAAAAATGTGGCAATGAAAAATTCTAACAAGCCAATTTGGGTTTTATTGGATCATGAAAATCTTCCGCGACCGTGTAGACATCATCATTCAAGCGGCCACGGAAACGTCATTGTCATCGTCCGCGATCGCGGCAAAATCATAAGATCTCCCGCGGCCATGTACATCATTGTCATCTCTCTCAGTCAGGGAAGCGTCATCGTCGTCTCCTGCGGTTTTGGAAACGTCATCGTCGTCGTCTGCGATCGCTACAACATTAGGATCATTTCCCGCAGCCGTGTAGGCATCATCATTTACTCCCGCGGTCACAGAAACGTCATCGTCGTCGTACACGATCGTGGCAAAATCATGAACATTTCCCGCGGCCGTGTAGACATCATCATTGAATGCCGCGGTCACGGAAAAGTCATCGTTGTTGTCCACGTTAGCGGCCAAATTATGCACATTTCCCACGGCCGTGTAAACATTATCGTTGTCTCCCGCGGTCAAGGAAACGTTATCGTCTTCTTCCGCGGCAAACTCATCTCTCTTGGCCGTGTTGACATCATCAACGTCTCCCACGGTCACGGAAACGTGATCGTCGTCTAGCGCGATCGCGGAAGAAATCATGAAAATTTCCGACTTTGATATCAAAATTAAGACTAAATCCCGACTTTTCAAGACCATTGTGAAATTCAATACTAATTCCCGACTCTTCAGTTTTTCCCGACTACTAGACATCCTGAACATAGTTTACAAATGGATGACAATTCAATATTTAATCATTTTTTTTTTCATATTTCCCTTGAGCTTATAAAGTTTCAATGTTTACAATTCGGAAGAATGTGAATAGTCTCATATCAATTGAAGTCAGCTGTAAATACTTTAATTTTACAGTTTATTTAAGGAGCAGAGGTTATGAGGTACAGGTTCTGCTCAGTGCCGGATTTAGGGTACTTGAGGCCCTAGGCCAAATTACTTGAGCGGCCCTCCCCCTCCCCCTGTGGTGGAAATTCCTTGCAATCGCGGAAATAATCGTGAATATCTCTTATGCATC